TTTCCTTTAGTTTCAATTGGCATAACTTTTGTTGTATAGTTGTTAAATAGTTGAATACACAGAAGAAGATATAATTGTGGTAACTTTCTATATCTCTAGCGAAAGAATAGGGGTGTGCAATGCTTCTATCCAGTCCGAACCAGATCCAACTCTTGAGAACCGCGGTCCATTAGTAAAAAACAATTTAGGACCAAGCACTTGACCATCATTGCTTTCGGTTCATTTGGTCTTATTCGGTCCGATCCACATATTAGTCTGGTCTATTATTTCTTGAGTAATAGTAAAATTTATGTGGACCAACGACCGGACTGCATTATACTCGATCTGGTCCCAGAACGAATCTCTCGTCTCTCTTCTTTTCTTTAGTCAATTATCATATGAATTATTATGAGAAAAGTACTTGAACTAATTTCTATTGAAAATGGGCCACCAACTTCAACAGAAAATCATATAAAAATGGCCAAAGTCCAAAGACCTTTCCAGCTGCTGTCATATATGAAGTTAACCTACCAGTCATTTTAGCTAAACTCTTATGCAACAGTAAACACATTATAACTTTAATTAGTATTAAGATAGTAGTGAACTAAGTTATCAGTTTTTAACTTTAAACAATGGTTGGGTTGATCTCTAACCGTAATCTATTCATTTATTATGCTGTGGGTGTGAGTTGTAAATTAGGTTATCAACTAAAAATTGGCTGGACTGTAATTGATTCATAATCCACTTAACTTCTTAATCTAGAATCATGAAATCTCTAGCATATAGGTTTACTCAAAACCAAAAAAGTTATCCACAATTGGCATGCAAACAAGAAAAGTTAACAAGGAATAGTAGATTTCAAGCTACAAAATAAATTATAGAGTTTGCAATCATCTTCAATAACCATAAATTTCACATTCGATGGTTTGAGGTTAAAAAGTTGAGTGAATTATATGTTAGAGATTGCAAAGTCTATAATTTGTTTTGGTAGTAAACAAGGAAATCTACTATTCCTTGTTAACTTTCTTGTTTGCATATTGTTCGTTTCAGGAGTGTTTGGTGAGTGATTGTGGTTCAAGAGTTTGACAATTAGCTAGATTTATGATGAACTTCATCTTCATTTTATATTTTATTATGATTAGACTTAGACCATGTTTATCAGTTGAATATTTTTTTGATTTTGAACAATTACTAGTAGCTATATACAAGCTAAATGATGGATATGATTTATGGATTAAACGTTATTTAGTATAAGTATTTCTTTTATTTTACATTTAGAACAATATGAGAAATTTGATATTCCAGAATCAACGTTGTAAACCCACCAAACTCACCAAATTCCAGCCATCATATGCAATAATCCAACCCAACCCACCACAAGTACATTGCATAAGTGGATGTGGATAAATTTTTTCTTTATCCACCTCATAGTGGATGATTCCAAATTCATCCTAATTAGAATAAAACTATCCACTGCAACGTGTCACATGTGACAGATAGAGTAAGGCCGTGACAAACCAACCACGATATGGTGCACCACTTGGATTTTGTTGAATGGTTCTCCATTCTCATCCAACGACCCATAAAAGTGTTCTTTAAATTAAAGGCTCAGATCTATTAGAGTAATAGATAGTGGATTAGAGGACCCACGACTTGAAAAAGTAGCTGACATGTGCTCCATTTATTTTTAACAAAATATAACTTATACATACTATTTACAAGTGGTATATGTATATTCTTGTTGAACAAAAATCATATTTGTATTGAACAAAATACAGATTTGTCCAGAGCAAAAGTTATATTTGTACTGAACAAATATACACATTAGAAAAAGATATTCGTATTAAACAAAAAATGATATTTGCATTGAATAGAAAACATATTCCATTTGTGTGATTTCTATATTCGTAATTTTCACAACTCTTATTCAAAATAATATACCATGCATTAAAAACCATATTCTTACTAAATACAAAACATATTGCTACTGATCACAAAACATATTTGTACAAAACAGAAATCATATTCAGCATTATTCAAGAACTTGTATTCTCTACTCTCTGTCTTCTGTCAGCTCCTTTTTCAGTCTGCGTGCTCCAAAAACAATTTTTTGTCAGCTGCTTTTCGGTATGCTGACCTCACAATCCACTACCGCTTTTCCTAACATATCTGAACCATTTATTAAATAGACCGTTTTTATGAACCATTGAAGATAGAGAACTATTCTCCAATATCTAAGTGGTTGATGTTACCCGAATTCGTAACAAACCCCACTGACAAACTAATTAAACAGACAGGGAAAGACATCCACTGTTGTCTGACCAACCCACCCTTCCCTTCTCCAGCTAACCTTCTCTAAGGCAACTTAATTATGAATGCATGCTTCTCAACAGGGACCAACAAAAATATTAAACATCACTTTAACGATGATTTCATCATAATCCAACTTCCTCGTATTTTTTGGGTTGCTTAGATCATCTATAATGGAGTGCTAAAAATTAAGGTTAAAGTGTCAAATTTGACACTCAATAAAGTGCTTTTGCTCCAATGGAGTAGAGCCAAATGCCAAAGTGCTATATTTATGATTTTTTATGAGTTAGTTTATTGTACATTTCATTTTTTTATTTATATAAATTTGTAATAGTTTTATATAGTTAGTCATAATTAATTAAAACCAACATTTTGATATTTTTTTTTAATTTTGATATATGGTGGTATTTATAAAACAAATTGAAAAATATAGGTGTTGAGACAAAAAATAGCAGTTGGAGGAGAAAATAGCCGTTGGGACGAAATTTGTGGCTGGTGGAGAAGTTTTCCAGAAGTTGATCTGTAGTTTGCCATTATTAATAATAAAAAAAAGAAAAAAAGGGACGCGCGCGGGAAGCAGGCGACCACTTCCCTCTAGGGATGACGTTGGGTCGGGTTATGCCAAACCCAAACCCATGGGTTTATTCGTGAAAAAAATCCGGGGTAAAACCCATTGGGTTTGAAAAACTCAAACCCAACCCAACCCGCTGGGTATCCGTGGGTTCATGGGTACCCACGGGTTTTTGTCGTAAAATATTTACAATAACAAGTTCCTATCAAAATTAAAGTCAAATATCAATCTCTCAATACAAATTATCCATATATAAAACACCATTCTAGAAATTCAAGCAAATCACAAATTAACTATACAAATTGTTCAACACCAATCTAGAAAACTGAAGAAAATTGAAGAAAATCACAAATTATCCATAAATAACATGATTAATTGAAAGTTTATTCTTTTCAATTAAGTTTCTTCACTTTCCACTCGATAACATCAACTTCATTCTACACAATTTGAAAGAAAATTTAGACGTGTCTCCACAAACATAAATAAGATTAGTTGCTTAGAATATTAAATACACCGAGAAAATTAACTATATGGGTTTGGGCGGGTACCCATGGGTCGGGTTTACCTAAACCCAACCCGGTAAATAGTGAACGGGTTTATACCCAAACCCGACCTAAAACCCATTAACACGCCTTTTACCCGCGTTGACCGAGTTGGGTCGGGTGGGTACCCGTGAGTTCGGGTTTTGTTGCCATCCCTACTTCCCTCTTCCCCTCCCCGCGCGTTTTCATCCCCTCTCCTTTGATGCGAATTTTATTTATGCTTTATCACTTTTTGTTTTTTGTGAGCCAAGTTTGGCTCCAAAAAGCTTAGAATTTAACACTTTGGCTCTTTAGCTTTAGCTATTACAGCCCAAAAGTGCCAAAAATTGGCACTTTGCCCCTAGCATTGTAGATAGGGCTGGCTATTTGGACCGGGACCGGATGAAAAACCGAAAACCGGACCGTATAACCCGGACCGAGACCGGACCGGGACCGGATAGTAAACAATCCAATCCAATCCAATCTTTGGGCTTAGATTTGAGGTAAAAAACCGGATAAAGACCGGATAAGAGAGCTCAACACCCAAAACTTAAGGGTAATTTGCATAAACGGTCACAAACCTTTGCACTTAGTACAAAACTTAACCAACTCCTCACCCTTTTAGGCCTTAGGCCACTCAAATTCCCACAATCTCAATATAAAATCAAGACCGAATTGGGACCGGACCGGGTCAAGACCGGACCGGATCAAGACCGGACTGTATCCAATCCAATCTTCGGTCCTTATATTTTCAAAAAAACCGGACTGGACCGGATCAATTTGGGCCAATTTAACCGGACCGGACCGTATAGCCACCCCTAATTGTAGATGATCTTAAGAACAATTGGCGCGCAATAGATTGGAGAGGGGCAACTGGTGGATGGATTCTATATGGCTAGCTTGCAGTCAAACAATGTATTTAGTAGGTAGGTAGGTACCAAATCTTAACCATCCCATCAACTCGATGGATCACGTGCATCTTAATTTTTATGCATTAATAAATGTGAATGGCTCAATTTCAATGAGAATAAAGTACCGTCTTGCAAAAGTAAAGAATGAAGCAAACAACATTTAAGACAATTTGACCCGCCCTATTCGGTATTATCCGACATGATTAGTATTGGGTTAGTATTATTCAGCCCACGGTAGCAGATATGGTAGGATACGGTAGTATATGTATATGAGTTACTACTTCCGACCTGTCTTGTTTTGCCTCATCTCATTCTTGGCCTTTTCTATTTCAAATTTTTTCAATATCCATTTGTAATTCTCCTATTTCAATCATAGTCTCACTCAAAAAAACTTTAAATAGGTACAAGACTCGATCTTTCAATTATTTAGATTCAATCAATCATTCTATTATCACTATTTTTCATTCATGAAATATTTTTTTTATTTTTTTATAAAGTTTTTTTTTATATTGTGTTAATGGATTGATCTGCTCCGTCCATATTCACACGAGTATTACCATATCCTGACTAGCATTTGATGCAAGACAAATATGAGTAATGAGATACTCGCTGCCCGCCTACCCATTTGCCTTCCCTAGTCACAAAGCTGGTCTCAACTCAAGCTTATAATTCCTCCTCCATTAGGGGGAAAAAAAACAGCTTTGGTTTCTAAAAAAACCCACCAAATGTGGGGGAGAAAAGCAAACCAAAAAGCAAGTAACTAAGACAGAAGTTATTTTTCCAAAGGAAAGACTTACGAGGGTCGCCATGAACGGAGCTGATGAGTTGCAGGGATACTCCCCGCCCCAAGAGCTCGTCGAAGCGATCGACGACCGAAGCGTTGACGTCATTGAACTCCAGCACGTTCTTCTTCATCAGCACCACGCTGCCTTTGATTTCCCTCTTTGCAATATTCTGGCCGCCATTGTCGTCGTTGTGGCCAGTGCTAAAGGCAGCAATGATGCGCCGCATGCCTTCAGCGATACAGCGACAACAGCAACAACAATAGCAATCCTCGTCCTGCTCCGACGCCATCTTGCGTTGAGGAAGTTTAGAGTATGTTGATGATGAGAAAGGTGTGGCGTGGCGTGGCGGTATTTATAAAGAGTGGTGGCTTAAGAGAGAATTGAATGCCGAAGCTTCTCCTTCAATTTCTCGTTTTTGTTTTATAATGCTAGATATTAGTATATTGAAAATTGAATGTGGAAGCTCAACATCTTCGAACAAGTAAAGTTAGAACTTTGCTACGATGATGATAGAAACACACGGTTTCTATTATGGTATTATTATTATTATAGTTACTATTAAGTTAGTTACTAGTAGGGTTAATAATCTTTAGTCGTATTAGGTTAATTGTTAGGGTTTTCCAGTTCTTTCGTTATAAATATGTACTTGTGTTTTATTCAGGATTAATCAAGAAGAATATTAAGAAAACTCTCCTAATCCCTATTATCCCAATCATCTCAATTCTCGATGTCAATCCCTCTAAAGGCCTAGGCCGATTCTCTATCTTTCTCTTCTCAAAACCCTAATTCTGTCTGTTGATCCCTAAATCCCAATTCCACAATCGGATCGATAGAATCCCTAACACAAGTTCTATCAGGTGACTTGCATGTCACCGTAACTTGCACTTTTCGGTCGACCTCAGTTAGGATTAGGGGTGGCTATACGGTCCGGTCCGGTTAAATTGGCCCAAATTGATCCGGTCCAGTCCGTTTTTTTTGAAAATATAAGGACCAAAGATTGGATTGGATACAGTCCGGTCTTGATCCGGTCCGATCTTGACCCGGTCCGGTCCCAATTCGGTCTTGATTTTATATTGAGATTGTGGGAATTTGAGTGGCCTAAGGCCTAAAAGGGTGAGGAGTTGGTTAAGTTTTGTACTAAGTGCAAAGGTTTGTGACCGTTTATGCAAATTACCCCTAAGTTTTGGGTGTTAAGCTCTCTTATCCGGTCTTTATCCGGTTTTTTACCTCAAATCTAAGCCCAAAGATTGGATTGGATTGTTTACTATCCGGTCCCGGTCCGGTCTCGGGCCGGGTTATACGGTCCGGTTTCCGGTTTTTCATCCGGTCCCGGTCCAAATAGCCAGCCCTAGTTAGGATTAGGTTGACCTCGGTTAGGATTAGGTCGATCTAATCTGTTGTTTCAGTGCAAAAATAGTTTGATGATGCCCACTTTGGAGATTCATATCGAGCCAGTTAGAATTAGGTCGACCTCTGCTATGATTAGGTCGATCTAATATATGTTGAGGGACTTCTTATCGAGCCAATTGTAAGATATGAATCTCCAAAGTAGGCACCATGAAACTGTTTTTATACTGAAACAACAAATTAGGTCGACCTAATACTAACTGAGGTCGATCTAATACTAACTGAGGTCGACCGAAAAGTGCAAGTTATGGTGACATGGAAGGCACCATATGCGCACCCGTAAAGTTATTGTAATAAGATGATTTATAATATAGTGTTAGAGTTTATTTGTTAGTGAGATCACGTGTTAAAGTTCAGTTGATTATCGTTGAAGAGACCTCTAAAATAATATTTAACTTCTATACATGAATCTCTTTCAACCATTCTAATTAATAATTCTCTTCACCCTGATATTAACTGTCAAAATGATCCTATAGACTATATGTGTTGTTTAGCTCTTCAAAAAAAAAGTGTTGTTTAGAGAGTGCTACCTGTTGGCGTTGGATTTATTGAGCACATACCCTATAGTGAGGTATATGATGCATCGTTCCTTTGGGGTCTGTCTGAAACCTTGATGTGATTTTTTCAAACGTTATGAATTTTGATGTGCCATTTCTTTGTTTTACAGTCTGTTTTCGAAGAGGGAGAGGAAATGAGGAGAGGAAATTTTTTTGGAGGAAGACAAATTTTAGGAGGAGAAAAATTATAGGAGAAAATGTTTTTTGATGCAAGAAAGTAAAGAACTTGTGAAAAAGAAAAAGTATATTAGAAAGTGTGATATATATGATATTTTCTTAATTTTATAATACTAAATATGTGTAAATGATATAATAAATAATTTATTTCTACATAACTTGTTCATCACTATTTTTTTTATTATTTTTAGCAAAGCATATCTCATTTATTTAAATCAATTTTAATTCTTTCTCGATAAAAAAAAAGATTGCATGTGCCCTACAAGATAATATCCATTTTGAAACAAATTGCACATCATGATGCATGTTTTACGCTGGATGTAACACACTTTTACATCCCAAGTAACAGTTTTACGTGTCGCATAAAAAAAATGATATGCAGGACGTAAATGAATGTTATGTTCCATTCAATGTTGCATGCAAACGATTGATCTTACGACAAAAAATGTTCTGATTGTATCTCGACCTGAGGTTCGACTACCAATCTTCATGATACTCAATTCCATGTTGATGTGCATGTCCCTTAGCATGAAACTCTATCTTTGCTTACCTCTGGGTAGGAGTGTATGCCTGACTCTAAAAATTCAATTATTCGGCCCAATTTGATACGAACTTCAGGATTAGTTTGGTTCTGATTGTGTATAGGGTCAGGGTCGAGTCATTTTTTGGTCCTATAAGGGTTGGATTGGGTCAGGTCAACTTAAAGTAGGGTATTTTTTTAGCTCTATGATCAATAGCAAAAACTAGTAATTTAAAATTTCTCATACCAAAATATTAGACTTGTTTGTTAAGTTTTAGAAGTGTAGGTAATATAATACAATATAAAAATACAAAATATAATTTTACCACCAAAATTTCTCGACCTTTTTGTAAAAAAATGAAATTTTGATACTAAATTATAAGAAAAAATAACTTTGGGTATCGGACCAGGATCGAGTATTTTAGGCTAGTTCTAAAATTATGGCTAGGTTTGACTCAGTTTCACCCCCTACCCCTCGGTTTATATGTATGCAAAATATTTACCATAGTCAATCCCATATTGTTCTTTTCTAGCCTAGTGCTCATCAATCTTGCATTTATCATTTAGTTTTTTCTTATAAAAGGGGGTAAATTGCACGATTGGTCACTGTAAGACTGATAAACGGTTAACTCGTAACAGTGTAATCGATAACCGAAGTACCGAACTAGAATCGGTACTTAATGGTTACACCGATAACCGATTAAATGATAAATGGTCGGTTCTCGATAACCAGTTTTAGTTAATAACTAACCATTGGTTAAACGATTAATAATCGAAGGTTAAACGGTAAATCGACTAACCGATTACAACCATCCTCATAGTTAGAGCCAAAAATAATAGACCTCCATGAGCTGCAAACATAGGCAAAAAAAAAAAAAAAATGGGGTGCTTGAAGGCTTACAAAACCCCTTGTCTATCCTAGTTGTAATAGTGACTTAGACTCAAATGAGAATAAATTAAAGGAAGAGTTTTAGAAGGAGCACAGTATAGAAAGTTACACTTGCTCACAGTTGCTCGACAACAATTGGTAACCTTAAGCTTTCATTGTAATTGATGAGGTTTACGAGTTGAGTAATTGTTGTTGAGTATCGTTGTATGCTTCTTTAATAAAGTTTGATGGTAGAATGGTATTATTGTGTTCTTCTGTTGGATTGAGTTGATTATGTATTGATATATATATCTATGTTAAATTATTTTTTCTTCAACGATAACAACTTAAGAAAAGAACACATGCGGATGTATGAAAAAATATAAAAAATTTCACAATTGAAAGAAGTAGGTCTTGTGTTGGTTATGTTATCAATCGGCTATTATGGTATAATCATTTTGAATAACTTGCTTAACGGTTATTCGGTTAACCGAGAACCGACTAATTTAAATGATGCGGTTAACACTATGTACAAAGTGCCTAACGGTTAACCGAGAACCGACTAAACGGTTCCAGTTATAACCAAACCAAACCGATTATCAGCCCTAGGTCACTGGAAGTGCTAGAATGTTCATGTTTTGTCACTAAAAGTATTTTATTCTATTTGTGGTCACTGAAAGTGGTTAAACATTTTACGTGTGGTTAAACGTTTTACGTGGTCACTCTTCGTTAGTCTCTATCAGCCTCCGTTAACACCGTCAATATTTTGCTAATGTGGCTAACATAAGTAATGAGTCACCCCGTTTTAATCTAATAAAGCAAATCTGACCCGCCACGTCATAAAAAACCCAACCCGTGAAATTAAAATCTTGCAAATTAAACCCGCGACCTGCCCCATCTTTCTTCCCTGCACCTCCTGACCCAACCCAATTTATTGTTGCTTTTCTCGTTCCTTCTTCAACCTCGCATCGCCGACGACCCTTTTTCCTCCAATCATGCCCATAAAATACAATTTCAAAACTATAATCGATTCTCATTCCATCCATACCAGTCGTAACTCCACACTACCATGGCATCTTTTAAACCCTGAATATACAATTCTAAACCCCAAGATCGACCCTATAAATTATAAAACTCATAAACACATCACCAAACCCAGAAATTGAAGTTGGAGAGGGGAAATCAATGATGACAAATCTTCTTCCAGTCATCGTCGGAGAGAAAAAAATGGGGTTGGCAGCGAATTGAGTAGCGGTTGTGGGTGGATCTACGGTCGGAGCTAGAGGAGGAAGGGAGGGCTTCGATGGAGGGGCAGCTCCACCATTTGTAATTTTCTCATTTTGACGAAGATCTGGAGTTTTTGGCAAAACTTGATCAGGAGCTTTAGGTGATGATTGTTGAAGAAGAGTGAAGAAATTTATGAGCCAGATCCCGTGGAGTCCTCTTGCTTGGTTTCTGGTGTCGGTTCCTCATACAACTCTGTTTGGGGGTGTTGACACCTAAAATTATTTTGGGATAATTAAATGACGCATTAATTAGTCTCGGCATTTAATTCGATACCGCATTGATAAAGAACAATGTCGTTTGGAGTTGAGCGGCAC